ACTCAACAACTCTTGATGTATAAAAATATATTACATATTGATATTTATACATTCTTACACCAATATTATGCAAATAATATGCAATAGTGGGTTTAATAAATTTGTATTATTGGATGAACTATTAAACAAAATTGTGTAATTGTGCAATTAATTTTGTACATTCAGTTGTAATATTAGTACGGATTATGAAAAATTAAAGTGGAAAGTTGATAAAAAAAATATTTGTGTAATAATATATATTTAAAGGACTTGTTTATTGTTTAAGATAAAATTGTGATATCAACAATCAAGTTATAAATTAATGTTTATCTTTATAAAATTTCTTATTTATTAATTAAATTCTTCAGTTGCATGTATTCATTTCTTCCTTGGTTGTATCTTGGATACAGATCAATTCAAGGGGATTTGGTTAAAACATCCTTATAATAAAATTTTAATGCATTAATGACAAGTATAAAAAGTTTTTCTTGAAAAGTATAACAAATATCACTATTATCAAAATATTAAATTTTAAAATAATATAACTTTTGATGTAAATGTCTGTTTTTAATAAAATTAATGTTTTTATAATTTTCTCATCAAAATCTATCAAATAAGATTCATGTTCACTATGAAACTGTTTAAAAAAAAATTATTATCATTGAAATTAATGTAAATAGTAACAGTAACATGTTACTCTGTTTGACAATAACATGTTATTCTATTTGAAAATTACTCTATTTGACACTAATATGTTATTGTCTCACAGTAACATGTTACTCTGATAATATTATTCAAGAAAAAAAAGGAGAAGATATTTTTACTTTATCTTTACTCGATTATGTATTTTCTCCTTAGAGAATTTATGAAAAAAAATAAATTGAGTTATATTTTTCACTAAACAAGAGTCAAATGGAGGGATTTTGACTAAATTTTTCATCAATTTATCCATATAAATCTCCATATTTTGTATATACATCACATATACCAATTTAAGACATAAATATAATTATAATACTAACAGTTAATCCAACCATTAATAATACAAAAAGTAAAAATAAAACAAAAAGAAAATCAACATTAAGTGACGTGACTTGGCACCACTGTTAAGGCTATGGCTACGTCCATCATCATAGTTATTGTAATTATTACCGTCGCAAATAAAAATATTGAATAAAAAAATATTAAAAACAATGAAATGATAATGGTAATTTAAAATATAATATAATCAAATAAAAGATAAATTATATATTACCATAACAAATGAGAATAAAATTTTATTATCACTTTTAAACAAAACACCAACAAACAAAATAATTTTTCTATACTTCTCAAATATATCTATTACCTTCAAATAAATAAATAAAAAAACCACCACACCACTTTCATCACCGTCAGGCATCATTATCACTACCAATTTTTGGTTGATAAACATGAACAATACTCAAAAATAAAATATTTTTTTTTTTCATGCATAATAAAATTTTACTTGCGAAATAATTTTTGAAAAAAAGTATTTTAAGAGAGTAAAATATGATAGATTTCAAATACTCTTTGTTTATAATCAACTCTTTTGACGGTCTGCAAGCTTAGAGAACGAAAAATAAATCACACATTAATTATTAATTTTTTACCAAACCTTTTTGAAAGATTAAAACATGAGAAAACAATGAAGACCCCATATTAGTTATATTTGTTTTTGGATAGTAATGTATATGTGGACAAACTTTGGATCGTGCAAGGTTCAGTCTCGGTTGGATTAAAAGTATAAATTTTAAATCTAACCCATTAATATTTTAAATTGAAAATGTTGGTCTAACTCATCCCTATAAGCTAACACAACATTCTCAAACGTTAGAAAAATGGGACTGAGTCGGGCGGGTTAGGCGGACTAACGAGCTAATATCCACCTCTAATATATACATCACATCGTCATTAATTGTTTATTTGAACGAATATATTTGCTTTGGGTTGGTTTGGGATGTTCTAAAAAATTGTACTTTTTGACTTATTGACTTATATGGGTTGAGTTTGGGTTGGGTTTGGTGTGATGTGTTAGAGAGGTGATGTGATTTAAATAAGATGATGTGACTTAAATAGGATAGTAACTTTTTGACTTTTTGTATTATTTAGATCATGCCAAACTTGGCCTTTGTCTTCTAAAGAGTTTTCAAGCTTGTCTTCTACTAATTTGATAATCATTGGAAACAAAATTTCCATTGTTACTACAATTTATAAATGTATGGATCACCCTCTAAACTTATCTTTCTACTTCCACCCCTAATATATACACCACATTGTCATTAATTGTTTATTTGAACGAATATATTTGCTGTCTTTTAAAGAGTTTTCTATCTTATCTTCTACTAATTTGATCATCATTGGGAACAAAATTTCCATTGTTACAACAATTTATAAATATATGGATCACCCTCCAAGCTTATCTCTCTGCTTCTACTTTTTTTATTGCTATTAACTTGACTATTCTACATCTAAATCAATCTATGAAGACAAGAATACTCAGAAAAAAGGTCCACGGAGAGGCCTCTCTCTCTAGATGATTTCTGGTGATGTTCCGGCAGTACTCTGGTAACATTCTGGCAACCCATTTTACACTTCTAAAATGTAGATTTACACTCTTAGAATATAGATCTACAATTTTAAAGTGTAAATCTGAATTTTTATGCCCAAAATATGGATTTTGAGATTTTTCTTTTTCGATTTCGGCATAAATTTTTAAATTTTCGACACCCACAATGGTTCTCTTCTCTCAAGTCTTTTTCCCATACCATTGTGGGTGCACTTCCTTCTCCAACATCGGCGGTGGTAGAGTTGGGCAGCAGCGACGGGAACAACGTCAACGGGAATGGCGACAAGCAAATCTTACTTTCCAAACCACATCTTTGAGTAAATCGATAATTTTTCCTGAATTGTAACTGTTTTTTCTTGACGGATTTGTTTTTTGTTATTTGGTTGAAATGGTTCTTTGAGATTTTATTTATGTATTGTTGTTTTATTAATATAATGTTTCTCATGTTCTCAACCGATAAAAAAAAAAAAAAAAAGAGACAAAAAAAAAAAAAACCGACTAGAATACTCTATTTTTTTTATTGCTATTATATAACTTGACTATTCCTCAACTAAGTCAATCTATGAAGACAATATTTCACTAGCAGAGAAGGATTTTGATTTTTATTATAGTGGTCGAAAATTCATTTTGGGCCTGTAGGATTAGAATATATCGGAATTGCCAGATGAACAATAAGTCTGATGTTCATGTTTATTGCTTTTTGGCCTAACAACACTACTATCAAGTTGATAGAAGTAGACATAGATACTAATGAGAGATTTCTAGAGAATCTAGTTAAAAGGCAGGTAAAATCGTTCATAAAAATGTTCCCTTGTCAAAATATGAATTTCTTAAGCCAAAAACATCAGTTTAGGGTCTTTATTTCATTAACTTGGATTTTAGGATTTAAAACTTGGACTTTTGGAAGCAAGCTGCTAGCATGGGGGGCTTATTAGGGATGAGCGCTGGTCGGTTGCGATCACGAAACTTTCAATTCGCCATCCGTCTGTTAGATTGACAGATTAAAAAAAATCAATCTGCATCCATCCGCCAATCTGACGGCTATGGATTGAACGGATTGGCGGTTTGACGGATGGATGCAAATCGGTTTGGCGGTTTAAAATTTTATAAATTTTCAACATAATTCAACTTGTGCACTTCCTCAAAAAAAAAAATATATATATATATATATATATTACAGTTAATGACTTAAAAAAAATATTACAATCACTGCATGTCTTATCCAAAGTAAGAAAGCTTAAAACTTTAAAATATCACAATTACTGCATGCATCATCCACATACTACAATCACAGCATGTATCATTTACATAAAATATTACAATATGTGATTCTTAAAAAATAAAAACAATTCAAACCACCAAAACCATGAACAGAACAGTAGTAGAGATTGTATGTGTTTGTATTGTTACATTTATATTTATTTTTGAAAATAAAAACCAACCAGCATATATCATATTTTCCATTTATTATTTTTAGAAATAAATTTAAAAACCAAAAAATATAGATAAATAATACGTTTATTTTTTTCAACTCAAAAAAAAAAAAAATCAAGTTGAAAACTTATTTAAACTCTTTTTTAATTAAAAACACAAACAAAATATTTAAACAAACTGAAAACATAAAGTCTTATAAATTATTAAGGATGCTCACTGTTTGGCGGTTCGATTACAGTCAAAGAAATCTCGAATCCGCCATCCGTCTGTCAAATTGACGGATTGAAAAAAATCAATCCGCAACCGTCCGCTCGTCATCACGCATCTGTCCAAAATGCGACGAATCGGTTTGATTAGGTCGATTTTGACAGATCGATATATCTGCTGCTCACCCCTAGGGCTTATGGCCAATTTTCCCAAATTCTTCTTTTGCCTATTGATTGTTTTGTTGCAATTATTACATTATCAGTTTCATTAATCAGAAGATTCACAACTAGATTCTTTTTCCCTCAAAAAAACAGATTCACAACTAGAGCTACTCATAATTAACAAAAGATAAATAATAATAAAATGACCTATGCCCTCCAAAATTGTTTAGATATGTGTTCCTTGAGGATGATGTTCATAAAACATATAGATAAATATTTATATATATACACAAAGCAAACTAAAATAAGATTTGCAGAAAAATTTAAGTAACGAGTTCATTAATCATAACTAGTACTGGTCATATTCAAAACACACACACAAAAAATAAAAAATAAAAAAACAAGAAAGAAAAAAAACACACAATTGACCTATGACATCCAAACTTGTCAAGATGTGTGTATGGATCAGTTCGGTGGAGTTTATTATAAGCTGAAAGCTCAAAATCAAAAAATAGAATCCAAAGACACTATTTTGCTAACTTCCAGATAATTAGTTTTTTCAGCTTAATTATATTATTTTTGCTTATTAAGTTGTAAACAAAAATTATATCAAACAATTAAACACAAAGTTTCAAAATAAAATAAGCTATAAATAGATTCTATAAATTGCATCAAACAACAACAATGGTTATTGTCAATGTTATTTGTAATTTGTTAGGCATCAAGCCTTGATTGCGCCGGGAAAAGCACAAAATGGATGGAACATAAAGTTACACAACACACATTTAAATCCAATACCATTATAAAAATGTCGATAACCTCCATCACAGTAGTCGCATATGGTGTTCTTATTGGTGACTACAACCAAAGTAAGGGGGTGACAGTGACCATCAAAGTTATAGGTGCTCCCCCAATTGATATTTGGATATATCTCTTCCTCCTTATAAATGCATCTGGCACAAGCAGAATGGTCGCATTTGACACAATGATAGAACCAAAAATTCGGATTTATGTCTTCCTCGCAGAATTCACAGATATACTCATCTGGATCATCTTCAATAACAATAGTGTTATAAGTAAGGATGAAGGGATGTTCGTCATACCTGTGCGTAATTGTACGGGGCAACAGAGCACATGTATAGTGTAAGTTGAAATTGCAAGTGCTGCATCCAAATGAGAATAGCTCAACACTTCTATCACATGCAACACAACCTTCAATTTGACAATCCTTCCTTAGTTTGAGGGGGTGTTCATGAACTTCATGCATTATGAACTTTGGTAGGGCAGCACACTTAATGTCAAGGTAATAATCTTTGCACTCGACACATGTGAAGGTATATCCATTGCAAATATTTCTACAGCCGATGCATTTAAAGATATCAAAACCTTCAAGGTTCTTTTTGAAGAGGATGAGTTGGTGTGAATGACATGGATGCTTCAGCACCGTGGGTAGCTCAGCGCACAATTTGTGTAGAAGAAAATCACATAGACTACAACCGTAAAATGGAGCTGAGATGGGTTGTACACACACATCGCATACCTTGTCATTCTTCTTCTTATTCACGATAAAACACAAATCTTCATTACTTTGCGCATCAAAAAGGGTTAATAGATGGTTATGACTAAAATGATCGATCTTTACTTCTCTCTTGTCTACCAGGCTGACCTGCTTTGCAAATTGACCATTTAGATTGTATGATTCATGACTAATTTGATCAAATGCTTCTTTGTTGTTGTCCCCATGGCTGATTTGCCTGACAAATTCGCTAAGTAGATGAACTGAATCATTAGACACGGGCAAGTGGATCAATTTGGCCTCATCAAGATCCTCATCCTCGATCTCAGTTTTTCTGTCCCTAAAACCTCAAAAGTAACAATAGAAACTATATCAAATGACAAGAAAAGCACTGTCAAAAAAATGTGGAGAGAGAGAGAGAGAGATCAAAGTTAGGGACAATGTGAAAGGCTACTTGCATGGTCATTGTTGAGCAATTCAAATGAGCAAAATATTGGCATCCTTCACAATGATAAAACCAGTAATAATCCTCCAACTGCTCCTTACAAATACGACAGTCCCGAGGTCCTTTGAGATTTATATCTGAAGGAGAATAAGCAAGGGTGAGACGATGACCGTGCCCTCCATGTTTGAATGTGGTTGGTAATGAAGCACAGTCCTGATGGATCCAAAAGGAACATGTGTTACACATATAAGAAATGCCTTGACGTTTTGTGCCACAAGCATCACATGTGAACAAGGCCGAGCTGAGCAAGGGACTCAGTGGGTGTTCATGACTTTTGTGTTGAATACTATGTACTCTCAAAGCATTATCCAATTCGAGGTCGAAACCACAAATTTCACAACCATAGACGTATGATTTGAAGCAGAGACTACGCTGGACACTAGAAGGATTAACAAAAAGTTCAATAGGCCGTCGTGAAAGAAGGGTAAGCGGGTGTTGTGGGTGCATTGGATGTTTAATCTCTGCAGGTAATTCCGCACAAAATTTGTGCAGAAAGAATGAACAAATTCTGCAACTATATGTGAAACCTGATATTAGCTGCGCACACCCGTTGCAAAAAATTTTGCGATCATCATTCTTCTCTTCACTGAGGATCAGTGGATGCTCATCCTTGGCATGTTTAAGCTTCATCTCTCTCTCTAACTCTGTGAGAGTTCAAAATGGCAGTAGCAAAACCTACAGAAATAATGAACAGAGAAAAAGAAAGGCAGAGAAGAGGCGAGAAGAGAGGGAACGTACGGAGCAGAAGAAAAAGGAATGGGAGCTGTATTCATTGATCTTCTTCTTCATTGATTCTTGAAATGGCGATGAGGACTGTTGGAGGTGAATATTATTGTAGATCTATAAACCCCAATCTCTGGAGTTTTCTTTGTTTTTTTTAAATATTTCAAAAAATATATATATTTAGATAATTAACTCACTTTTTAAATTATTTGAAAAAATAATCTATTTTTTAAATTGTATTTTAAAAATGTGATTTTAAAATTAAAATTGTATTTTCAACATGCAACTTTACTTTGAAATTGCATATTGAAAATGTGATTTCAATTAAAATCGCATGTTAAATTTGCAATTTCACCATGTTATCATAAATTACATTTTTAACTTGCGATTTCAAAGAAAAATTACATGTTAAAAATGTAATTTTAATTTTAAAATTACATTTTCAAAATACGATTTCAAAAAACAAGTTAATTTTTGAAATAGTTTAAAAAGTGAAACAATTTTTTAAATAGTTTTTTTTTTAGAATAATAAAAATAAAAGAAAATAAAAAACTCCCAATCTCTGTTCTTCTTGTAATGCCTTTTTCTTTTCTTTACTTTAATTTTCTTTTTTTTCTTTTTTTCTTTTTTCAATTTTCTTTTTGACTCAAAGTTCAAAAATAAATAGTAAAAATAATGGAAAATTGTAAATAAGTACATCATTGAAAAAAATATTGCACTATAGATGTAGTTTTTTATGATGCAAGTCTTATACACGGTGAGTACTTTTGCCATATACGTGGAGGATTTGCAGTATTCATACAATAAAGTTATACCACCATAAAAATTTAAATAATCATTTACTGTTCCACTAATTTACAATTGAAAAATGGCGGGTAACTCGAAATTTGTGGTCCGATTTTGGATCGAATGGCAAAATGACGTCGTTTTTCCATTCTTTTTTTTTTTCTTTCTTCCTTTTCTTTCTTCCTTTTCTTCTTCTTCTTCGTTGAAACCAGAAGAAGAACAGAGGGGAAGAGGAGAGAGGGAGCCTCCGTCCGCCGTCCTCGTCGCAGCTCGCAGCTCGTTCGTCGCCTCCGTCCGCCGTCGTAGCTCGCAGCTCGTCGGCTCCGCCCGATCGTGCCTCCGCCCCCCTCCTCCGCCTCCAGCCCTAATAATTGGGCTCCCTCCAGTCCTTCTCCTCCTTCCTCCTCCTCCTCCCTTCCTCCTCCTCCTCCTCTTTCTTCTTCCCCCTAATTTCGAGCCAAATTCGAGCCCCTATATTCGAGCTACCAACCGGGGTTGTTTACAATTTCTCCTAAAAATAAAATAATTTCTTAGTTTTGCCAGATGCATACTATGATATTGGTTTTACTATTATTAGAGTCATATGCATATCCAGTGTGTATTATATGTAATTTATGATATTTGTGATGTTGATGTCATAAATATTATAATTAAATTACTTTGAAATTATAATTAATATATATATAATGGGTCATATTCAAACACTATTTAAGGCATAATTAAAGATATTTTTTGTCATAATCAAAATAATAATCACAATAAGTTATAATTAATATTATAATAGGTCATAACCAAATTATAATTAAAGGTCATAACTAAATGTCATTTAAGGTATATTCAAAAATCTTTTTGGTCTTAACTAAAATAAAAATCACAAGAGATCATAATTAATACTATAATGAGTCATAATCAAATATCATAATTGGGCATGTGATACAATCTTTTTGAGTATGTATTATAAAATTTTACTTATTATAATTGGTGGTGGTGGCGGGGGGGTGCCGCAGTTTTAGAGCAATAATTGTAGGCTTTGTTGGTTTGATTTGAGGTGATTAGTACTTGTGTAAAAGAAACTTTGATTTAAATCAGAGAGTTGGAGAATGTATTTGTGTTGAAATCAATAAAATTAAAATTGCGAGCACTGAAAATTTTTCTTTTGGTCCCAAAATGTTCACGTTGTAAAAGGTATATTTTGAGAAAAAATTCACTTTATTAAAACTTTTCAAAACAATTTTCGAAATCGATCGCCACCTGATACACATAGAATCCATCCTCAACATGTACAACCCCAAATTAGAAGATCATAACTACCCACAGCTATATTAACAACGTTGCCTTATCTTGCAACCGACCTTTCTGCCAAATGGAGGCAACCCAACCAAGCCGATAAATGATGGAAACAGGACAGTTGATTTAAAGATGGTTACGGCCGAACTTCATGATGAAGTTGTCTACGTATCCCAAAAATGAGAATCAGGCCTTACGTAGTTTGATTAGGGTTCACTCGAGTATTAACTCTCTCATTTTGCGCTTTAACTTTTGCCAAAGCCACCTTTCCTGATTTTTGGCCTTGCGAGCTCAATTTTTCTTTGTTTCTAATTTTTCATGCTCTAACTTTTGCTTAGGTCGCCCGTTCAGGTTTTCGGCCTAGTAAGCCTCTCAAGAGTAATATTTCTTCAACTTGTTCATATTGATCAGCTATAAAAACTCTAAACCATCCAAACCCATGAAAATAATCGCCCCTCTTGACCAGATTGACTTGATGATATAAGGACTAGTCCAATTGTGTCTAAACTTGCCCCTAGGGTCATAGACGGGAGTTTGGTTGTCTTTCAGCACCATGTCCCCTTCTTTGAGATTCCTAGATTTAACTTTCTTGTTAAAAGCCCTAGCAATTCTGCGTTGGTAGCCTGAACATGATATAATGCCCTAAACCTCCTTTCGTCAAATAGCATCAGTTTCTCAAGCGTACTCTGTTACCAATCTGCCTCCGCTATTTGACACTCAGCCATTACTCGTAGCGACGGTACTTCAATCTCAATCGGCAGAATAGCTTCCATTCCGTACACTAGGGAATAGGGGGTTGCCCTTGTAGATGTGTGAATTGATGTCCTATAGCCCCAAAGTGCAAATGACAGTTTATCCGGCCAATTCCTATATGTTTCAACCATCTTTCCCAGGATGTTCTTCACGTTCTTGTTTGCAGCCTCAACAACTCCGTTGGTCTGTAGTCTATACGTCAACGACTTATGAAAGCCACGTTATATTTCTCAAGCAAATCCACCACCTCTTTCTTGAAGTGTCAGCCGTTATCAGAGATGATCTCGTTCAGCACCCCATACCGGCAGATGATATTATTTCTGATGAACTTAGCCACATGTGATGCCTTCAATATAGAGTAAGACTGGGCCTCCACCCATTTAGTAAAGTAGTCAATTGCCACCAGGATAAACCCATGCCTATTCGAGCCCTTTGGCGAGACTACCCCAATGACGTCAATTCTCCAAACTGAAAAAGGCCAGGGCGAAGTCATATTGTAAAGCTTTGACGGCAGTATGGTGCTGTTTGGGAAGGGCTCATCGGCTATATGAGCCACATACGACAACACAGGCTCATTTAGCCACATGCGACAAAACACGGTACGCTAGGGTTGGAAAGGAACTCTTATACGAGTAAATTCACCAAAATACCCTCCATCTCTTTCCTTTGTTCATTTCGGGAATACGCAGCACCACACGCACACACAACACAAGCCAACAGATCTAGGGCACGGAAGGAGCGACCTAGGCGATCTCTCCCAACCACCGGCGACGACATCAAAATATGGCTTCGCTAGACCGATCGGCACCGGAATAGGCTTCTAGCGGCGGAGAAGAAGACTGAACCCTGTTCGATACACCACCGATTAACTGGTAACTCTTCCAAACCAGAACTGATTTCGTAGATCTTAATGCCCAATGCTTCATGAATGGAATGATTTTATTTTTTTCTACGTTTTTCCTTCCCCCACTTCAGATCGCAGTGTATTTTGGCCTGTATTGATCGTATGTCGTTGTAGAAAATTTTTTATGGTCTGATGGTCTGATGGTATGTTGATTAACTGGTAACTCTTCCAATTGATGGTATGTCATTGTATTGATGGTCTGAACTGATTTTATTTTTTTCTACGTTTTTCCTTCCCCCACTTCAGATCGCAGTGTATTTTGGCCTGTATTGATCGTATGTCGTTGTAGAAAATTTTTTATGGTCTGATGGTCTGATGGTATGTTGATTAACTGGTAACTCTTCCAATTGATGGTATGTCATTGTATTGATGGTCTGAACTGATTTTATTTTTTTCTACGTTTTTCCTTCCCCCACTTCAGATCGCAGTGTATTTTGGCCTGTATTGATCGTATGTCGTTGTAGAAAATTTTTTATGGTCTGATGGTCTGATGGTATGTTGATTAACTGGTAACTCTTCCAATTGATGGTATGTCATTGTATTGATGGTCTGAACTGATTTTATTTTTTTCTACGTTTTTCCTTCCCCCACTTCAGATCGCAGTGTATTTTGGCCTGTATTGATCGTATGTCGTTGTAGAAAATTTTTTATGGTCTGATGGTCTGATGGTATGTTGATTAACTGGTAACTCTTCCAATTGATGGTATGTCATTGTATTGATGGTCTGAACTGATTTTATTTTTTTCTACGTTTTTCCTTCCCCCACTTCAGATCGCAGTGTATTTTGGCCTGTATTGATCGTATGTCGTTGTAGAAAATTTTTTATGGTCTGATGGTCTGATGGTATGTTGATTAACTGGTAACTCTTCCAATTGATGGTATGTCATTGTATTGATGGTCTGAACTGATTTTATTTTTTTCTACGTTTTTCCTTCCCCCACTTCAGATCGCAGTGTATTTTGGCCTGTATTGATCGTATGTCGTTGTAGAAAATTTTTTATGGTCTGATGGTCTGATGGTATGTTGATTAACTGGTAACTCTTCCAATTGATGGTATGTCATTGTATTGATGGTCTGAACTGATTTTATTTTTTTCTACGTTTTTCCTTCCCCCACTTCAGATCGCAGTGTATTTTGGCCTGTATTGATCGTATGTCGTTGTAGAAAATTTTTTATGGTCTGATGGTCTGATGGTATGTTGATTAACTGGTAACTCTTCCAATTGATGGTATGTCATTGTATTGATGGTCTGAACTGATTTTATTTTTTTCTACGTTTTTCCTTCCCCCACTTCAGATCGCAGTGTATTTTGGCCTGTATTGATCGTATGTCGTTGTAGAAAATTTTTTATGGTCTGATGGTC